TTATAAATTAATCTCGAGTGTTGTACATTTTCCCTAGATTTACCAACCAAAAATAAAATTGCACTAAAAGTGCATTAAAAGAGCATTTCAATTGAAAAAAATTACTCCAGATTTACCAATCCAAAACACCATTTACTTATTACTTATTAAAATTGCTCTCTAACAGCACGTTTTTGAAATATATGCCAACAAAAAACTATATAGCATTTAAAATTTACATAAACTTGTGTAAGCTGCCAAAATGGGGAAATTTAATAATATTGCAATTTATGAGCTGAAACTTTGATTCTAGTATATTTGTTTTCTACTACGCAATTCTGATATAATATAAAACAGTATATAATTTATTAAATAATATATACAAGTGACATTCTGCAAAAATTGGCTTACATATAACTTCTTGAAGTTTCTTCTTTAAGAATGGTGCAATATAACATATTGTTATTGTTGCAGGCCAGATATATGACCATCTCTTTGGGGTTCCTGATGATAAAAGTAAGCGCTAATTAGTCAGCTGTACATACTAATGGTTCTTTAATGTAGAGCTATAATTTCCAGTAATTATGCAATATAAAAATAATTTCAAGTTGAGAGATTAAAAGTAATCACATGTAATAGAAGCCTAATCTAATCTAAATTTCGGAAAAGCCTAGAATTTCCACAAGCTTACTAAATCTCACTTTATTGTGAAAAGCTTAGCAGATTTAACTTGGTATTACCGCCTATTTTTACCTCTATTGACATTTCTCCGCTATTTTGACACAGGTTCGGTTTAAATTAGAGATCATTTCTCTCTAAAATGTGGGTGCCATATTACTAGTGTATATATGATTTCTATTTTAATTTTTTATTTCAATTTAAGACATTTCATTAAAACATATTATTACAAATTTTAATTCTATTTCCCTAAGGTGGACCTTATTTATTTATTATTATTTTTTTTTTTTTTGAAAGTATCCGGAACAAGTAAAGTACATAATTGTGAAGTTTTTACTTTCACAACCACCGTATATGACAATACGTCCTCTCTTATGATAAACTGTACGAAGTCTGTTTTTTCAAAAAATTGTGTTTGGCACCAAATATAATTTCACTCTTTCCAGGCACAAAACATCTTTTAAATGATCTGGAAGGATCATTGATATCGATGGTCGATCGTCCAGAGCAATTTCCAACTACGACTTTTAGCAAAATATCGTTTAGTGTCTCACATATTCTTCGTTACTCATACTAAACGAGTGTATTAAGCAGCACTTTCCTGCAACCGACATTTCTGTAGATGTTACCATTGTATTTTAAACGCCAATGTTTTTCATTTTAACAGGTCTACTTTTGGTTTTTCAGATTCTTGTCATATATATGAAAACGAGAGGTTTATAGGTGCCCTCTCTGACATCCTATGTGATTGTCAGTTGAAATTATTGAATTTGTTCTTGCTATTTGGGCCACTGTCGGTAATTTTGTCTCACTTTAACGACATATTGCTTTAAATTTAAAATTATTTTACCAAAATTCATTAAGGAAATTGTGGACACTTCACCCTTCTGACATCATGTTGTTTTAAAGTTCACCCTTTTTCAAGTTACTTTTTAAATAACCGCATATTCTTATCTAAAAAATAAACTCTTGAAAAAAATTTTAAAAAATTAAAAAAAACTCAAAATATATTATTTTCCGATTTTTTATAAAAAAATTCTCTATTTCACGTGTATTTTGGTCCTAATCATTAATAAGAGTTGCCCACCACTGTTACCACACTTGAGGAAGATCATCAGTGATTTCATTTAAAAAAAGGCAGGGTCAAAGTTCAAAAAAATCGTAATCATGTAACTTTTGATTGGCTTAAGTGTTAAAAAAAACCAAGTGGCTCGAAGCTAATTTGCATATTGAGATATTTTTAAAAGGATTAGATAGAGGGTTGGTTCACTCAACAGCAGGACATATACATTTTTTTATAACTCTAACTAATTCTATTAAAAATAGTGTTCATAGGTATGCAACTGCGGTTAAGATATGAAAAAGACGAAAGGAAGGTTTAGAACTTGGAGAAAAGGAATTTTCATACTGATATTCCCTCATAGGATAGGTAAAAGCAACTTCATAATATTTTAACGATTTATTTCTGGTATTCAATACATTCATATATACGTATATGAATGTCAAAGTAGATAAAAGGGGACTCATGTGTTACAATTCAAAAATCGGTGCCTTATATCAAAGTAGAAGAGATAAATATATTTTTAATTGTGTGTCTCATCTTAATAATAGCAAATTAATCTACAGTTATTTACCTAATATACCAAATGATGGATAATTTAAGTTCCTAAACTCGTTTTACTTACATTCAGTTGTGAGTTAAATATGATCGCCACAATCTTCTAAGTTAAAATCTATTTATTTCCCAGCATTTTGTAATGCAAAATTGGTTGTCTTTTTTTAGTTATATTGTATTACGATTGATAATTATAGGTTTCCTATAGAAATTATTTTTATTTTCGTGTTTATATTGCAGTTAACTGGCACTTTGAATGGCTGCGATTGTTATTTTTGATTTTAGTTTTTTGCGCATCTGTATTAGCTGCTATTTAATATTTGATTCTGATCAACTTTCGAAACTGGAGAGCTTAAAACTATCTATTCGTATATATAATATTTATAAAGTTTTTATATTGCTATATATTTATGTCTCGAATAGTGTGAAGAAATTTCCTATTGGACCTAAATATATTGTACGACTACAAATTTTGGTCTACCGGTACATTAAACACATGCACTAGTGGACTGTATAAGATGGTCGTTTAATCCACTTCATTTTGGGTATTATTGTACTGAGTTTGTCCATATGTAGGATAACGAAAAAGTAAAAGCTAAGTACAGGAAGAGGATATTATTTATCAACTTTTTTTATTTTAATACACCCATTAATTTAATAAAATTCTTTTCCTTGTTTATAATTGTCATATGTTAAACCGAGACGACCATAAAAATAGGTCGCCCGATATGCAAAATCAAACCATTTAAACCGAATTCAAAAGGACCGAAAACAACTTGGTTTTAAGCAAAATTTATTTTAAGTTAAAATTGAGAAAATTACTTATTTAAATTAAATGCATACTTTCCTATTAGGTTTAGCAGTTTAACTAAATATCAATTTTAAATGGATTAATTTCAAATAAAAAGTTCCGTAATTGATGGATATGTATTATATATTACTTTCCATGAAAAATACAATATTATGGACATGATTTTTGTACCAGCATGATGACCGGCAAGGACGCTAAATGACTGCTACTCGTATTAAAATTATGGATAAAATAAAAAAAATAAAAGGCTGCTCACCATCTTGACACAAACATTCGGTATATGAAGATCATATTCTTTAGGTTTTCCTATCTTTTCCTATTTTACCTGAATTATTTAATTATTATAATAATATGACATACTAAATCATATGGTTACACAATAGATCTGTTTCATGAGACGTGACTTAGCCCTGTCCCACGTTATTAAAGTGACCAATTACTTCAATCAACAAGATTTCTAATTCAGTATGCTTAAAGTGTCAAATTAATATAAAAATTAACAACAATTCTAACAAAATATTGTAGACTCAACCACCACCGAAATAAACGGGGTAATAAATTATAATATTATAATTTACTAATTATAATATCGTAATTAATTAATTATAATATTATTATTATATATTATTAATGGTCACAGTAATCCTGAAAGGATGCAAGGACGGTGTGAGATAGGTTCCAACCCTTTTCTTAAAATTATTTTTATTTAACTAATTGTACTATTGATTAATAAAATACTATATTTTTTTCGGGAAAGACCATTGTTCTATATCTGAAACCCTTTTTTAATAAACCATTTTATTACGTCACTGTCCTTACTTACTTAAAATCACTATAGCTAATATTTTTTTCCCTAAACATTCTATAAATAATTACAATATGTTAAGAAATTAAATTTTTTTTTTAAATTATTTATAAATATATTATGTCCAACATTATTATATAAATCAATTTATTGTGAATATATTGTGCGTCATTGTGAATCAAGTTCGGCTTTGTATCAGTTGGTTCAGGTGCATTGATTCTGAGCTTCACATTTGGCAGGATCCGAGTTCGATTCCTGGTACTTGCAGTCTCAAAAATTATTATTTACGAATAATTAAATACAAGAATTACTTCCAAGACCACTGATGATGGGTATTTGGCAATACTCGAAACAGCTGTATGGTCAGCCAAAAATTTAATTAATTAAAATTATATAAAAAATAAAATTTTTGTTGTTGTAGTTCACTACTGTTCGAAAAAACCTCTTTGTACATCAATTTATATATAAATTTATAAGATAATAATATTTATTTATATATTATGTATGTATATATTTTTATTTTAAATTTTTTTATTATTTATTATTTTATATTTACAACAGACATAAAATTTAATTTTATTTTCTATTCTTTTTTGAATTCAAATAAATAAATTGTTGATTCCATCGCATACGTACCGTAGCACTCCATTACACCCACGCTTTCCATTTAGCCGTTACATTCGCAAATTAAATCTCAGTACACGTAAAAGAGGAAATGTTTGGGCAACGCTGTCAATTCACCGGCAAATAAAATGAATAAAAAAGGGTTGCATGATTGAGAATACAAATAATGCAAACACATAGTAAATTTATAAGAAAAAAATAAGAATGATTGCTCACACACCAAAAAAAACGTATACACAAAAAAAAATTCTGCTCAAATGCAAATAATGTTTACTTTTATAATGTAAATAGTGAGCGCTCTTTTTTACTTTTTTCTTTGCATATAAAAAAATTTAAACACGTTTTTATACACAACAAGCATCTCACTCGCACTAACTGACAGATGTGTGAGGGGTAAGGAAAAAAATAATTTTGTGCTCAATTACGCTCACTAAACCAACTAAACCAAGTAGAAAAAATTGTGAAGTAATTTTTTTTGAACATTTTTTTCAACAGTCCAGTTTATGCTTGGATTTGGTAAACATTGAGCGGAGTAAACAAAGTTTTTTCGTTTTTCTGTTTTGTATTTGAATTTGGATTTGGATTTGAATTTGTATGAAATGCAAGTGAAGCTTTCAGCCACATAAAAAGTTCATTTCAAAAATAATGCAACAATCAAATTAAAAAGTAATAAATCAGTGAATTAAAGAAATTTATTTTGAAAAAAAAAAATTTAATAAATTATATATTTTTATATAAAAATTTGTAATTAGTGTATTTTTGGTGCACGGCCATTTTATTTTATTTTATTTTTTTGGTGTGTCTAATAAAAAGAAAAGTAAAGTAAAATAAAAAAAAAATTATATCAAAGAAGGAGGAAAATTTTTTCTTTTTATATTTTTTGCAAGTTTGCTCAGGCATTTGATGTGTCGGTAAAATAAAATTTATGTTATAAATTGTTGAATGAATTGAATGCAACGCAGCAGCGGCTTTGTATATAAATTACAAATTCAAAAAAAAAAAAAAGTTATAATAATTGCAGTAATTAAAATTTAGCGCCCAAAATAATTAATAAAATCGAAAACTAAATAGTACCTGCCGAGCAATAAAAAAACGTTTCAGAAAAGCACGTGTTTCCATACACAAATAGGTACGTATTGGAATTGTTTATAAAATAATAAATTATTTAGTTTAAGACGGTAGCTAAATTGTTTACAAACATTACATAAAAATAAAAACAAAATAAAAAAAAGTAAAAAAAATTTACATATTTTGCATGCATAACAAATTTAAGTTCTAAGCGAGCGGTCGGCCCTTTATAGTCGATCATAAAGCACTCAACATCGCTTAACGGTGAAAAGCGGAAGAAAAAAAATACAATTGTTATTAATTAAAATAATATAAAAATTAATATCAATTTTTTGTAATAATAATACTTATATATTTATAATATAACATACATGCCAAATGTATATATATAATGATATAATTATGATATAATCTACCATCTTCAATGTCACTTGTATGAATACTTATTAATCGAAAAAATTGTTACAGTATAGCTGTGATATTACCATCATCCATAGCTACACAGTCCATGTAGGACCTAAGCTTGTTTTGCGACATTCCTCCATTCTTCTCTATTTTTGACTTTTATCTTCCAGTTGATGACATTCATTACTCTCATGTTGTCAAACACTGTTACTACAATAGATGTGATATATAAATCTTAATTTTATATAGAATTACTTGCTTACTTACCGCCATCATAAAATCCCAGTGAAGCATAGTGTCTTAAAAATCTACCCAAATCAAATTTTGTATCAAACCACATGACACACATCACTCCAAGTATAGTCAACCAAATGTATATATAAAAAGACAGATTAAAATCTGTCTTTAATGTTCTATGCTACATATTGATTATGGCTAGGTACCTGTCTATAAGTAATCTGTAGGTTGCCAATGTTAGTACCTTTATTACCGACGGAAAATGAATTCTTTTTTATACACAGCTTGTAGTTAATAAATATATTTGCTATATAATGTAGTATTAAGCTATAAAAAGTATACTTTTAAACTATCAAACTATCTTTAAATAATAGTTATTTTTGCACTAGCACTTAGCTTATTATTGTAGAATATCAATACATTTGACAAAAATTGTAACAAATTACAATAAATATGAATATTTCAAACGTGATTTGTAGTTAAATGGGCATCAAATATAAGAACTGCGCATCACGATCAAATGACGTAACAATTTCGGATAATACATAATTTAGTTATGCGAGATCGTAACGATTATTTATTGAAAGCCCAATATAATTTATACCTAAATGGCAGGACTCATTTCTTCTGAATATATAAAATGTTACCGATAGAACCAGCAGCTATGTTTCATTAAGAAAACCGTCCGTTTAAAAAAACAAACCTTGTAAGAAAATTAAAATTGGAGACTTGCAACATTGTTGAACTATTCTATTTTTAAACCTAATCAATATGTATTAATAAATATAATTCAAATCGTGATTTTTTATTATTTTTATTTTTTTTTCATATCAATTGTCATAATCTCTATTCGTTCCTTTCCAATAAGCAAATTTAAGTTATTACTGCATTGTTCTTTTATGCTAAGGTAATTTTTTTTCCCTGCAAGTTTCTAAAAACTAATTCTGGGCCCTTTCCCTTTATTGAATAAAGTTTGCAGTTCTGCATGAAGTGATATTACTAGGTTTATTAATACCTTTAATTTGTCCAATACAACTTTAAAATCTTCTTTCTTAGATTACCACCCAGGATCAAACAGGTCACAGTGTACCATTGTTTCTTGTTTTAATAAAAATGTTCAAGAAGTTTAAATTTTTATTTTGTTATGAATCATCAATTGTCTATATAGACCGACGGCATTATATTTTTTATAAAGAAACACTATCTGGTAGATTTAAGTGATCTTGAAGAATATAACTTATTATAATTTATGTTGGATAATTGTTTAATGTTATAATCACAATTGATTTTATTTCATTTTTATTATTGTAATATATTTATTATACATACTCGTGTATATTTATATACAAATATATATTTTAATTCTTTATATATATTGGTATTTATTATATTCTATTTTTGGATTGCAATTATGCATTATACCATTTCTTCTTACACAATTTTATTATGGTGTGCATTATTATATAGAATATATATCATTTATATTATTTTTAAAAAAAAAATTAGAAGAAAAATAAAACCTAACTATATTTGAGCAAATCAGAGAAATTGTAAACACTATAAAATACTAAAAATAATTTTTATAATCTTATATGTTTTATGAATAAGTACACCTTTAACAAAATATATATTTGTTGCACAAGTTTTAGTTTTGATGTTGACCCTTTAAATAACTTTTCGAGATAGGGATTCAACACCGTTTAAGGGCCTAACTTTGTTATAAAAAAAAGGTCTTATCGCTGTTTGTTTTCAAAAATATTATAAAAAATTGAAACTTTGTTACGTATACTTGCAGTTTTATTTCAATATTAACAATTTTAAATTGATTAGTCACTTAATATAAGTAATTTTAACAGAGTTTGTCTAGTTATGAACAAATTAATAACTCTTTGAATAAATGATATATACAGTGAAAATTCTGTGACGGGAATACACTAATTAACGGACATATGTCTCAACCGTAGCTTTTTTCTAGTCATCAGTTTTGATTTTTCATACAATATAAGTTTCTTTAAATGGACGATTCTCTCAAATGTGCAGAACTACCGATGCCATTGGTGTTCGTTTTGACTGTACATACTAAATAATTTATTTCTCACATTGGATTCGATTCTTTCTTTATAGTACTTTTAAGAATTCATTCTAAACTTTAATATAAAATACCTACACTCAAATTCTATCAGAATATTGATCCTACTTTATATTAAATTGTTTTCCATTCTATTCATACTCACATAAAGTCGAGCCATCAAGCTTTACTCGTCTCTCTTTTTCACCGTGATGCGCAAACGGTTATATATGTGTGTAGGAGTTTAATTTCAATAAAATCTTAATTAAAATTTTTAATTTAAACAAGTAATGAATCTATTTATTTCAAATTTTTACAGGGATATATTTAATAAATAAAATTATCTCACTAACAGAATCTCTCTAATATATAAATATGCAACGGTCGTATAGGTTTAATTATTAATTTTATGTTACCATTACCGACTCTATTAAATGGTTCCAAGAACGACCGGGTCTTTATCCCGGAGCCACTCGTCGCCAGGGACGACCAAGTACCGTTCGATAGCTTCCAAAATAACTTCACAAGCAGGTCCCAACGGGATGCAGCAACAACTACTACTATATTAAATAAATTGAATATAATCACTTTATAGGTGTTATAAGTAAGTGTGGATAAGTTTTTTAGATTCTTGATAATATGATAATATTCTTATACATATAGTTATTTTTCTTTTAGTAAATCCCTTACAATTTCACATTTGCATCACCCTTACATCTACTAATCAGCAATTGATGAAACTCATCTATTTTTCCCCTTTAAAGATACTCTTACTTTTTAAATTTTTTGGAAAAACAAATCAAACGAAAAAAAAAACCTAATTACCCTCTTCCAATTGTAAATTGTTTTTTTTTCTCTACTACAAGTGAAATTGCAATCCCTTAAATTTTCTAATTTGCAACACCGCATTTACCTTCGTTCGTTCATACTTTCATACCTAATTGAACAAAACACAACAAAAACTAAACATGCAACTACTAAAATGTAGTGCAACAAATTAGAACAGAAAAAAAGCAGAAACCAAATGTAGTTTAAAAAAAGAAACCTCAAAAAATGAGATAAGCACGAGCCAAAAAGGCAACAGCAAAGAAAACACAACGTAAAGATTTCAAAACAAAAAAAACAAAAAATAAAAAAGAAAAATATTCTACTCCCTCTTTATTTGCCCCTACACCACTCATGAACTCACTCTGTGCCACCAATAATGCTAAATGGTAGGATTTATTATTTATCATATATTTTTTTAATTCTTTCGATTGCTGCTGCTTGCGCTACACTGCTACACGCTGTTCTTAACTTGATTTTCTTATTCCTTTTTTCCTATATTTTTGTTTTAATTTTTGGTTTTTGTGCCTCATTGACTTGTTCCCCCACTCATTTATTTGATTTACATTTTTTTCCATTTTCATTACTTCATTTATTTGATTTTCGGCTTTTTTTATACCAACTTTACACAACTTTATTAAATTCAATTTTGTATTTTTTTTATTTATTTTTTTGCTTATTGGTATGTCTTTTTCCTTTTATTTTGTATGCTGTTTGTAATTTTTTGCCAACCATTAAAAATTGTTTTTTTGTTCTGCTTTTTTGACCATTTGCGCTCACAAATTTGCTTGCTGCTGCTCTCATTAAGTATGCTCTCCTTTTATGCTTGTGTATTTTTGTTTTTTTCTGTTTTTGTGTTGTCTCTGTTTGCTTTGTTTACATGTATTGTTGCCGCGCATTTTTTTTTCAACAACTCCCTCATTCTCTGCTACTTAATTTGCAATTTTTTTTTATCGTTCACATTAATTTTTTGTGTATACATTTTTTTCATTTGCTTTTTATTACTGCTTTCACATTGTGGTGGCATCGTTTTATTTGTTTTTATTTTAATAGAAAATTATAATAAATTTTGTTGGTAGATGGAAAATATTATTTTTGGCGCCTAAATTTTAATACTTATTTTATTTAGTAATTATGTCAGTTGGTGAATTAAGAAAGTTGAGGTGAATAAATTTGTTAGATGAATAATATTTGCTTATGCTGTGGCAGTACCCAAATGTTACAGCCAAAGATGCTAATAGAGATTGGACCAAAATGCCGGTCAGGTACTATATTTTATGTAGTGTGGTATTGTGTAAGGTCGCTTCATTTTCCTTATAAGAGAACAAACTGTTAACTATAGGTAATATATTTACATTGCGTATGGCAAAGCTGACGAGCTGCAAGTTGCTCAAAGTCAGGCTCTCCGAACACTATTCAAAGTGCCATGGTTCGTACGAATGACATGCTAAGAATAGACCTTAGAATAGATCCGGTCAAAACATACATAAGGGACAGAGCCCTGAAGCTATATGCGAAAATCAATA